TTTTCATGTTAACGTCAATCTACACATTTTGCTGACTTGAATACTTCATTCTTCAATGAATATGTGTATGTCACATTTATGTTGGGATAGACTTCTTTCTGTCTAAAAAAGCTTTGATAGACAGATAGTCAGTGTAGTATTTTGGTATACCGATAATCTAATCCACATCTCGTGTGTAACAACAAGTGTGTAGTACTTCTCGCGCTCATTAAGTATCTATTTCTATTATTATTATTATTTCCAGTTATGCAATGAGTTCACCCTTGTTGTTGTTGTTTTTTCTCTCACTCATTGTAAAAATATTTTGTAGTATTGCATAAAATGTAATGAAAAAAGTCGCGAAACCTAGGCAGACCACTTACTTATTTTTAATTGACTTCTTGGATCAATTCTAAAACATTAGCTTTTTTCTTGACGTACAAGTTAATTAGGTCAATGTGTGTTGAATTATGTACGAATTATATTGGTCAAAAGCATGGATACTGAACAAAGAATACTCTTTACGATAACCCCTTCATCATCATCAGGCTCTACAGTTATGTATACACATTATAGTGAATGAATGAATGAATTAGTGTTATGAAAAAAATTGATGTTGCTGTTTAAGTAACATCGAATCAATAATATTGATAGATTACAGTTCAGTAGCATCAACATAAAAGAAGCTGAATGTCATAAAAATTAGGAAAGATAATATTACAAATTCATGAATTTATAGTCTATACTGAAGGCCAGTCAGGGCAGTAGTAGTGGCTGGCTAGCTGGACTTGCTTCTTTTGAACACAGAGCACTAGTTCCTTCAGACGGCGAATTGCAATAACCTGTGCTGTTTGGAGCATGCGGTGCTTCGGGATGATTTTGGCAATTTATTAGGCGCCCGGTAGATGATGATAGAGAAGGATTCTTCCATGCTGGCTGGCTTTGTTTCCTGTCGGTTTGCACTAGATGGTCCAATATCGAAGTGTTAATGGTTTTATCTACTACACCTTTACTCAGCCATAGTGGGAGATGTTCTCGAGTGAGGACGAAAAATCAAGTTCCTAGAGCGACGGCCAATATAACTAGCTCCACTATCAGTGCAGTTGAATTGGTGGATACGATTTGAAGTGGCTAGTCTAGTCCAGGTACTTCATCTTTCAGTCGAGGTGGCACCATCGGTCGTGTAGAGAATAATTCGTGTAGTTCGCCGGCATCAACAGTTCTCTGAGTTGATTTTCTTAATTTCGTCGTAATTATCTCACTTGGTATATCGCCCTTGTATCGCAATCGTACATAAAGAGGCTTCTTGTTTACGGATAATGAGTAGTCCTTTTTCCGGCGCTTTCTTTGTCACGTGTTTCTTGATAAATTTTTCGGGATAGCCATTTTCGATCAAAGTATCATATACAATGCTTAATTCATCTTCAATTACTTCTTCTGAGCATATAGCTCTAACTCTGTGGCTGAGGATCTTCACTAATTTTTTTTGTACTTGATAGGAACGAAGCTGTGAAAATGTGTATATTGTCCTGTCCAAGTACTTTTCCTATGCAAATTTCCTTTTATGCTGCCAACTCGTTTTCTTGTAAGGAGGACATCCAGGAAGGCAATTCTGTCTCGGGCATTCCTCTTCGCATGTGAATTTCATGGCCGAATGTACTTCATTGAATTCAGTAATTATTGTACTCCTATCAGAAGCATTATCGCAAAGAATGTGAAGGTGTCATCCATATACCGGCAATAAAATGACAGCATACTGATAAGGTTGTTCAAAGGTGGTCCTTTTTCTAGCTTACTTAGAAAGGAATCAGCCAAAATGGGACTCAATGGGGAGCCTGTCGCCACCCTGTCCACTTGCCTATAAAACGTGCCGTCAAATTTGAAGTTTACCTTCATGGTACACCTTAATATCAATTCTTTTAAGATATCAGTACGGATGCCAATGTTTATCGACTGGTTATCCACTTGTTCACTTATGTAGTTAACTGTTTCTATTAGAGGTAAATTTGTGAATAACGATGGTATATCCAGAGATATCATGGTTTTGTCCTTGATATTAATATCTTTTATTTTGTCTACGAATTCAAATACATCTTTGACGCTATATTTCATTATCTTATCAGGCAAAGGTTTGAGAATATTTACTAACCATCTAACTATCTGTAAACAAGAACCCACTTTATATACGACTACAATTCAAGAGTGACATAATTACGACGCAATTAAGAAAATCAACTCAGAGAACTGTTGATGCCGGCGAACTACACGAATTATTCTCTACACGACCGATGGTGCCACCTCGACTGAAAGATGAAGTACCTGGACTAGACTAGCCACTTCAAATCGTATCCACCAATTCAACTGCACTGATAGTGGAGCTAGTTATATTGGCCGTCGCTCTAGGAACTTGATTTTTCGTCCTCACTCGAGAACATCTCCCACTATGGCTGAGTAAAGGTGTAGTAGATAAAACCATTAACACTTCGATATTGGACCATCTAGTGCAAACCGACAGGAAACAAAGCCAGCCAGCATGGAAGAATCCTTCTCTATCATCATCTACCGGGCGCCTAATAAATTGCCAAAATCATCCCCGAAGCACCGCATGCTCCAAACAGCACAGGTTATTGCAATTCGCCGTCTGAAGGAACTAGTGCTCTGTGTTCAAAAGAAGCAAGTCCAGCTAGCCAGCCACTACTACTGCCCTGACTGGCCTTCAGTATAGACTATAAATTCATGAATTTGTAATATTATCTTTCCTAATTTTTATGACATTCAGCTTATTTTATGTTGATGCTACTGAACTGTAATCTATCAATATTATTGATTCGATGTTATTTAAACAGCAACATTAATGTTGTTGTTCATAACACTAATTCATTCATTTATTCATTCACTATAATGTATGTATATATAATTGTAGAGCCTGATGATGATGAAGGGGTTATCGTAAAGAGTATTCTTTGTTCAGTATCCATTCTTTTGGACAATTTTAGTGAGCACTTTTAATGAATTATATTTGTATCAATCTCATTAAAATAGAAATAAATAACTCTGATGGTTCTCTTGACAAACTGGTCCTTTATATCGGTGCCTAACTTTTCGGTCTAATCTTGATGGAGATATTTATTTAGTGGATGGTGACTAGCAGTGGAATCCAGGATGCGCATTTCGTCGTATTTGGGACTCGTGGTCAGCTGGATGTACCTGCATTTCTCAGTGAGTGATGATGTTCCCACCGAGGCTCGAACCCAGTACCCATAGTTTCAAATGCCAAAGCGTTATCCACTTGACCATTTGGGCCACGAGAACTGGGCACCACTCGTGCAACGGGTCATATTAATTATTTAGTTGAATTTTAGATTTTCCCGTCGATTGACTCGACCGAAGTGCTCGGTCTCAGGTTGACATGTCGGCTTCTTCAAGTGCAGATGCTTCGACGATGTCTGGGCATTTAGTTAGTACTTATTTGGTGGATTGTGACCAGCAGAGGAATCCAGGATGCTCCGACATGTCAACCTGAGACCGAGCACTTCGGTCCAATCAATCGAAAGGAAAATCTCAAATTCAATAAAAAAAACTTGATGGAAATAGTTTGTTTAGGAATTTGAAGAGAAATTTGTTTTTAAGTTAACTGTGTGTATTGCTTGTTGATTGATTGATTGATTACACTGGACCGAAATTTTCTGTGTCTCTGTTGACATGTCAGCGCCTAGTAAAGGCGCCTCGATCATGTCTAATGATTAACATGACGTTTAAAACGATGGCGGCTGGCTTCAAGTCCCCCTGAGAATTCCATCACTCACTGTGGATTGCGAGTACATTCAGATCAACAAGCCTGAAATAGGATGAAATGTGCCTCATGCAGCCTACTGGTAATTGCCGTTCACCAAATAATTTGAAGAGATGTCTGCAATTTGTCGCACACTATACAGTTATGTTATAACATTAAGTTTCAGTATTAATTTAGTGTTATATATATAGGTAGTAGATATCATTCACTGTGCAGTTTTAAGTATGGGAGCTGTTTGTTGTATAGTGTTCTGAAACGTCTGGTGACTTAGTATCTTGTGCACTTTAAATCTCTTCATTATAATTCTTGCTGTTTAAAATGATTAATTTCAGATTGATTACTTAATTTAATGTTTAAGTACAGTAAGTTATCTACACATTGTAGATTTCGCCACGAACCGATACTAGTTAGAGAACTGCAGGAAATTAAAGACCCGTTGTCTGTTTCATCCTAGCCTGGGGCACTTCAACAGTTCACCCTGATTTTTAAGTATCCTCTAAATGACTTCCACTAAAAAAAATATATTTGTTGTTTGGCATTAGAAATGTAAACACTTTTGTCGTTTAATCGTATTGGTAGTGCTAGATAGTTGGAGGCAATCGGCCACAGGAAGCATTTGCTTGACCCAGGTTTCGTGCTAGTTGGCACTCACCAGTCAGTAAGGCGTATCTGCAACCTTTATTATTCCCTTGGATTCCAAGGGGAACATAGGGCTTGCATCTCTATTTCGCTCTCTTTCCTTCAGTCCTTAATAACACTGGGACACAATTACCCATAAACTTTCATTTCCTTGTCGTATGATCTTCTCCAGGTCACATTCGTACTCACTGCCCAACTTGTTGTTTCCCATTCGGGTTCCATGCGAAGGTCTGCTTGGTGTGCTATGTGGCTAAATGATCTCCTCACCCCTGTGTGTCCAATCCAACTCGGCTACCTTCGGTAAACTTGTCTGGTGATAGGTTCTCGTTTGTTTTTTGTTTTTTGTCAGAATGCTAGAGTTCCTTGTTTCTAATCCTTTCTGTCCGGTTATCTGAGATATATTTTCATAATGGAGCAAAGATGGGTATTGATGAAAATCTACTCATGACGAAATGAATCTCAGGATTATACTGTCTTCTTAATTACATTATCTGTTTGATTCTCTACATTCTGAATGCATTCTTTGTACGAAAACGAGAATTATACTTATTATCATTATTATTATTAATACTGTTTTTATTTTCTTCAGAGAAAGTTTAATTGGTGAAATCACGACATCTGTGAATGAATTGTTACAAATGTATAATAGTGGTGTCTACTCTCTTGATGTAAGTTTTGGATGCAGTGAATGAATTCAATACTGTCTAGTATACCAATAAAGAAAATATGATATAACATATAATTTGTTCTATGCTAGTAATTACTTCTTTTTTGTCTACTTTATTGGCATAATATTATTTTATACCAAAAAGTATTCATTCATTAAAACAAAATTATATTGAAACGGTATATATATATATATATATATATATATATATATATATATATATATATATATATCAGGTATAAAGACAAATTAACCAAGTAATTTACTTTTTACGAGTTTCACCACGGACTGATATCAGTTAGAGAACCATTGAAAACTAGCCACAGGGAGTACTGGACAGCTGTTTACTCCATCCTAGTTTGAGAATCATTACCGGTACTCACCCACTGCCAGGGCTCGAACCCAGGACCTTACGGTTACAAGGCAAGCCCGTGTACCATTCAGCCACTGGGAACCGACCCGATTCAATGGCTCATGAATTCTAACTATAGAAAATTAATCTGATGCTCGCTAGTGACTTGCTACAGGATGGAGTTTCCTGGAGTTCCTGTGAGAAGTCGTGACCAGTGAGGTTCATCCAGATGTCACGTGTGTGGATGGATGTCCCACGAACGACAATGGTTGTGGTGGCGCTAAATCACGAATCTGTAGAAGATAGAATTCATGGGCTGGCTGGGCATTGAATCGGGTCCCAGTGGCTCAATGGTATACGAGCCAGCTTGCCTTGTAACCGGAAGGTTCTGGGTTCCAACCCTGGTGTTTGGGTGCGTACTGCCGGTGATTCCCAAACTAGGATGGAGGAAACAGCTGTCCAGTAGTCCCTGTGGCGGGTTTTCAATGGTTCTCTAGCTGATATCAATCCGTGGTGAAACTCGTAAAAACAAATCTAACCCTTACAAGTAATTTACTGAAATATACAGTTGCTCTTGAAGATATAGTTTTGTCACACATCTGATGTGAAATGGTTGCTCGTAGATGACATTTCTTTGACGCTATGTCGCAAATCATAAGTCACTAGATTCCTGTTCAGTATGAGTGCTACGTAAGCAGGGGTAGTCATTCGACGAGGATGTGAAATTACATCAACAGATATGGTTAGGACATGTGTTACATATGCCTAGTCATCGCCTTCCTCGACGGGGAATGTTAGCTGATATAAGATCAGGCTGGAAAAGAGCTAGCTAGTGGCGGTCAAACCAAAATATGGCTTCACCAGTCAATGAAGTCCACAACAGTTAGTTTAAGCCAGCTAATCACGTAGGAAGGTGTAGACTTCTTGACTGACTGGTTGGGGTCATCGGGACAGTAAAAACCAATAACGCGCTGGAAACAATTGGTGATATGGCTCAAAGTGATCATTCTCAATGGCTGGCGTAAATGCATCCACTCCTTGTGACTTATGATTTCCAATGAAACTATATTGTTCTTCGTTATTACTCTTCCTTTGTCTCACACCTCTGTTTACCGTCTCTATTATGCATTTTTCTTCTACTTTCTTCTCTTGCTTTGTGTGTTACATGGAGGGAGTGTGGCGACTTGAACTGGTTCACATATGTGTAAAGTTCTATGTCGAAAACAGACAGACAGACATTCAGTATCTGAATCATTGACGTGATCTGCTAGTAACATCTGAACACTCTAAAACCGACTCCTGATAGGCTGAAGGATGCACATTATTGGGGACTTCCACTGGATGACGAAATAGCTGCCCATTGTGCTTCTCAAAGCTTCTCTAATCACTCATGATGAGTAAAGCAAACGTTTAGACGCAAGGTGTTGACATTACCACACATTAAAGACTTTCGTTTTATCAGAAATATATAACAATGATATATTTTAAAATGTGAAGTAATAGTTGCTTAACACATCATAACTACTTTCTTTTTATAATTCTGATAGCTTAGCACCACTTTTGGCTGTAAATTTAACTTACATTTGAGAAATTTTGTCCACATCAAAGATATATAATATATATATTCACAGTATTAGAATGAGCCCGAATAGCTGAGTGTTAACGTCTGTGACTTCAGCACTGGGTGGCGCGGGTTCGAATCTCAGAAAGGACATGAGTTCCTTCAAGGTTGCAGATACGCCTTTTCAAGTGACATCACTAGACAAGGCATCACTCTAGTGGAACCCGAAAGGGAAGCGGCGAGTTAGTGGTTAGTGCGAGGGTGACTTGGAGGAGGTCATGTGAAGAGGAGATGAAGACATGTGGGCAGACTTGGAGCCAGGTGAAAACTCTAGCAGAGAACTGAACGCAATGGAGACGTTCGGCTAAAGCCCTATGTTCCTCCAGGAATTAAAGGAAAGAATAATAATACAGTATTAGAAACCTTCTATAAATCAAGACTACCTCGTCTTCCGTGTCTTCGTAAAACTTTTTATTTTATTGTATCAATTATACTATTTCACTGTGCTATATCTAACTAAGATAAAAACTAATATGGATTGTATGCTAATCACGAAAATCATATATTGATTAAAACACCCATAAACTTAATTTTCCATGTTGGTTATCATTTTTCTGAATAAAAAGTTCGCTCTAACATGTCATCGTCTACCTCATGCTGTGACTGTACCGTTATACAGCAAACAACCATCCTCAAATTTATTCTAATTTTATCAGCCATGGGTTATGTATGGATTTACTTCGAAGAAAAGTATTTATGTACTGACAGGATACCCTAACATTCTTATCGATATTTAGATTTCGGTTCATGTCACTGCATATCGGTGAAATGCTCAAGTAAATAGTATCAAAGAAAATCTTCGACAGGTAAGAAGACATATGAGGGAAACTTTGATACATTAAAATTGTTGCGATAAATTAGCCAGGAAGTATATAGAAAGTTGTAAAATTAATAATAATAATAGTAATGATAATAATAGGGACGATGTCATACATTTATTTCCCTTAATGAATTTGAACAAAGCAAGAACTACAGTTTTAGCAAAATAAATTGGTACCATCATTATTTATTTCGTTGCCTTCTCGTCAGCTGCTTACAGGCCAAAGACATTTATCATTAAATATATCCACAAAAACAATTTTAACATACTCGCACAGAGTTCATTTTAAGTAAAAATCAATCGATCAATATATGCATACACTAATAATATATACATATATATATGCGATATTAAACACTATTCTGAACAATAATAATCATACACAATGGAAACTTTTCCTCATTTCAGATTCAGATGAAAGAGAGATGAAAAACAACATCCAGTTGCCAGGTAGAGCAAAGAAAGACTGAGAACCGCTTCTTTCTGGACGCATAAATCAGGTTTCAGGCGCTTGATGGAAGTGGCTTCAGTAAACTTGAGGGGAATTGAACTCTTTTGCCTATTGATAACGTCGAAAAGTCATTCAAAATTATCAATAGGCAAAAGAACTCGATTCCCCTCAAGTTTACTGAAGCCACTTCCATCAAGCGCCTGAAACCTGATTTATGCGTCCAGTAAGAAGCGGTTCTCAGTCTTTTTTCGCCCTGACTGGTAACTGGATATTGTTTTTCATCTCTCTTTCATCTGAATCTGAAATGAGGAAAAGTCTCCATTGTGTATGATTATTATTGTTCAGAATAGTGTTTAATATTACATATATACATGATGAGAAGGCAGCGAAATAACACAATGATGGTACCACTTTATTGTGCTAAAACTGTAGTTCTTGCTTTGTTCAAATAAGGACAATATTATGCATGACGGACATACACAGAAAGAGGAGAATACCAAAAGTAAGGAGGGGATTCAAAACGTCAGTAGTTTTGTTATATACAAAGAGGGAACTCCTGAAAATTACCATAGGATTCTTAACTAGACAGGATTTTAAGTGGCATTGAAATCCACAAACTCACGTAGAAACAACTTATATAAACTGCTAAAGCATCTTGTGAAGTCCATCAAACAGTAGTTCAGTTTGTCTTACAATGAATGTGATGTTAAATACATGAGTCAAAGTAAAACAGTCCGAAATGAGTTAGATTAGTGGAGTGCAAAAACCGAGTGAAATCTAGCTAGATTAGCTGAACGTGGTAATATAAGTAATTTGGAAAACAAAAAGCCCAGCTATAGCATTACATACAGTCACACACATCTATTCAAGAGGATGGGGCGCAGTAACAGTATTGAAATCTAACGCAACAAGGTAGAGGGCGAGAGAAAGTGTGAGAGAGCAGTAACTGAAACTTCATTTGTCGAATCAACTGAAAATACGTGCAATAGAAGTGATTCAGCATGTCTTCCTGACATCTAGAAAATTCCGCTATCCTTACGACGTACGAGAAGGAAGAAAAAGAACTATAAAATCTAAGTTGTGAAGTTGTACAGTTGCAATCAATATGATTATGAACAGTAAATCATATTCGAAATGTCATCCAGTAAATTATTATATATATATATATATATATATATATATATATAATAAATTGATGAGGAATTACACTCTCCAACAGTGGCCAAGTTTTACACATATACAGAAAAGCACATTCCTGTACAGTTTCCCCAGTTGTTAATGAGGTAATAATTACTACGTCAACATTTAATCTTGTGAATATTATTAGTGAAGCTTTATAAAAAGAAAAACTGTGGTAAGATTTTACTGGTCATCAATTCATGTACACAGCTGATAATCAGTTGTATTTAAACTACCTCACTAAGCTTTGTCATCTGTCTATTTTCGACATAGAAATTTACACATATGTGAACCAGTTCAAGTCGCCACACTCCCTCCATGTAACACACAAAGCAAGAGAAGAAAGCAGAAGAAGAAATGCATAATAGAGACAGTAAACAGAGGTGTGAGACAAAGGAAGAGTAATAACGAAGAACAATATAGTTTCATTGGAAATCATAAGTCACAAGGAGTGGATGCATTTACGTCAGCCATTGAGAATGATCACTTTGAGCCATATCACCAATTGTTTCCAGCGCGTTATTGGTTTTTACTGCCCCGATGACCCCAACCAGCCAGTCAGTCAAGAAGTCTACACCTTCCTACGTGGTTAGCTGTCTTAAGCTAACTGTTGTGGATTCCATTGACAGTTTGTTTAAGTCACAGTAAAAACCAATGGTTGGAAACCATTGGTGATATGGCTTTGTCGTAACATGGAACACTCAAATACCAATAAGGCAAAATATACACCTACTTAACTATTAGCGAAGTAAGACAGTGAAACACTTGTTACTGAAATATGCCTAAAATAGACTATATTCATGATCAGTCGTGAAGCAGTATCGTCGCAACGTTTTTGTATGACATTGGATACATAAACCTGAAATGTTTGTTTTTCATCATCGGATAGTTCATATAAAGCATAGGTTCTTTGTGATATGCGTGAGTGGATAGTGTCGATGTGATTGAGTGTGTGACGTTTTATTGTCTTTGAATTAAGGTAAATGTAATTCCGGCGGAGATTCTTCCAGTAATGTTTCGGCTACTCATGCTTATCAATGCATCATTTCAGAAAATTAAGCTTCGTGTTAACTTTAGCAAGCTTGACAGAAAACACACAGGAATTTGTCTAATTCCCCTTACTGTCACAAGGTCCTTGGAGTTCTTCAAGGAACGAAATATTCCTAATTGTTGAAAAGAAAATATTTACCGCTGTTTGTGCCTTTCTCTTATGACTCAATATGGGAATATTTTGTTCATTGAAGAACTTCAAGGACCCTGTGACAATAAGTGGAATTAGACAAATCCCTGTGTGTTTTCTGTCAAGTTTGCTGGAGTTAACACTGAGCTTAATTTTCTGAAACAATGCATCGATAATTTTTTAAAATTATTTTATTTATTTTTGATTACAGCTTGATTCCACACTGTATTTTTGATACAAGTATGGAAGTTTCAGCATGGATATCGGTAGCCCAAATTTTGCAGGCCGACCATAGATATCAGGTGTGTGTGCGTCGGCAGGGGATCAAACCTCGGACCATATGCATGGTCGGCGAGAGTCCTAACCACTGTGCCACCGACGCACATGAGTATCCAAAATACATATTCATGATTATTGTTATTATTATTATTCTACATTTAGGGACTTAAGGCTTACAAGTTAATTGACTATGGTGTACTGATGCATACAATTTATCAATATTTTCTCTTTCGCCTATTTCTTCTGCTTATTTTGATTTTATTTATTAAATTAATCCTTAAACACCGGCATTTTCTTTCTCTAAATAATAATGATAATAATTCTCATATTCTTTTCCCTCTCTTTATAATCTCTAGCTTATTAATCCTCGTAAAGCAAAAAGGCATAAACATTATCAGAATTCTGGAACTGTAAGTATCATTTCTATTGGCTAATTTAAATAGCGTTGAAAGAGAATACAAATCTCTTCTTCTGTTGTTGCTGTTGTTGATTTTTGAATTCCTATTCTGTTGACCGTGATCGCAGTATAACAGTAGGCATAAGATCGACAGTTGAGTTGAACGTACTCATAATTCTATAAACTAACTTTAATAATAATAATAATGATTTACTTTATTCCAAAAACAGTACTTGTGATACAGAATCGAATTTTCAGCATTAATCACACACAATATTGCATCTAATTTCCTCAAATTATGAATAAAATTAATCACACAGAAAATTTTCCACATTTACAATAGGGGTGGGTAATGTCAAAAACATGCAGCATATAAAATGGAAATAATAATAATAATAATGATAACAGCTAAGGTAATAATAATAATAAATAATACAAGTGAAAATTTCCGTGGACTTGTTTCACACAGTATTGTCAATGCGGTATAGAAGTACTAGCATCTTTACAAATATTGAATATCATGTTCTCTTTACATGGTGATATGGTGAGGTGAAAACAAAGATTACAGCATTCATGGAGATAAGTTGGTGTTTGCAATTATGAGAGTAAAACAGAGAAGTAACAGGACCATAAATATAATAGAAGTAATAAAAGTAAAACTTGAAGGTATATAAGGATGGATGGAGAAAATTGTTGATTTACTAGATGAAAAAGGGTTAGTTAATTCTTCCTGACACTATTTTCATCACAAAAATAACGTGCGAAGTATGGTATCACAGAGTTTTTATACTTAGACGTGCGATTATACAGTTTTCTGAAGTTACTCCTTGTTCTACATGAGGAGGAGATGCAAGGTGAAATCTGAGGGTAAAGTGGATAATCCAAGTTAGACAAAATCCTTCCAGCAAATTTATTGCACGAAGTCAAGTGCCTATCGACAACGACGTTAACTATGTGGCCCACTGGGACAACACTTACCCTACTGACAGTCTTCAGCATTCTACGAATTGTGACATAGTCCTTTTTAAGCAAACCAGGAAAGAATAAGCAAGGGGGAACAATAAAGAAGAATGAGTAGGATGCAAGAGTTTATAAACTGTAATAGGGAGGGGAATGGTTGAGTTATACCCGAGTGTCTTAACTTCTTAATTTGAAATGTCAGGCGGAATATTTTACTGGAGATCGCTAAGACATGGGAAGACCAGGAGAGATCAGAAGAGAGAATAAGTCCAGACTTGATTTCTGATTTGATTCCTATATCATTGTCGTCAATTTTACAAGTGTCATGAGAATCGATGACTTCTTTTAACTGTCTTTTACATCTTAAGCTGAAATCAACAGTTTGACACTTAGAAGGATTCAGTTTAAGACCATTAGACTCAGACCATTTGCTGACTTCCGATAGAAAGCTATTTATTTTAGTACAATCTAGCTGGGAGTTAACAGCCATTAAAACCGTTAAATCATCAGCGTACTTCACAAAGTTTATTTCATCAGAGTGAGGCAAGTCATGCAAGAAGAAAGAAAAAAGAAAAGGAGAAAGAACAGCGCCTTGAGGGACACCAGCTTCAGTAGGCAATGAAGTGGAAGACTTCCCTTTATATACGGTGTACTGCTTTCTTTCAGAGAAATAGGAATGTAACCAGTTAACAGCCCAACATTCTGTTTGACGTGCAGCAAGTTTATTTAATGAGATGTCCCTAGGGACCGAGTCAAAAGCAGATGTATATAGTCTAGGAAGGCACAACGAACAAATTTAGCCCCATTGTCTAGACTGGAAGCGTTGTTATGATATAAGACGGCATCTGCATCTAAAGTGCTTCTACTGTGCTTATAGGCAAATTGTTTAGGGTCATTAAAGGATTTAAGCGAAGGTACAAGACTAAGTAAAAGTAATTTCTCCATGGTTTTCAAAAAAGGAGAGGTAATAGCAATGGGTCTAAATTTGACACATGCTCCAGTGGATGATTTAGGTATGGGTACAACTTTAATATCCTTCCAAACGGCAGGCACAATATTATTGGAAAAAGATTTGTTAAATAGATCAGTAAGAGGGTGACACAGAATATCAGAACATTAAAAAAAAAATAATACTAGGTACATAATTGGGTCCTAAGCTCTGGGATGGGTTTAGAGACTCGAGGCACTTTTGAACATCATTTGTGTTAAACGAGGAAAGGGGCTATTATTAACACTAGTAATGCTGTATGGTAGGCATTAAGTTATTTCATTGACAATATAATTTCAAAATTCTACTGTTATTTACCTTTTCATCATAATCGCTAACTATATTCATTTCATTTATTTTGGTAGTATTCATTTATAAAGTGGATTTATTTTAATCGCCATATATCCACACACACACACACACACGTTTTACTTTTTTTCTTTCTTAAAATATATATGCTTGACTACCTACAGGATTACAATAGAAAAGTCTCTTTCACCACACTCTATATAACAAACAATCCAGGCTTAGAGACGACTATTTACTAAATGCACGTGAAAGGAAATATTAAATGTGTAGGCTTTACAGCTGTTGTTAAGTATACACACATATACATATACATATATGGCCTCTATAAATGCTAAATAAAGTCACACTAAGCTGATGTGTTGTATGTTCTGTTGAGAAAAAAACAACGATGAGAACTTGTCTGTGAATTTAGTTGGTCATAAGAGGAATGAAGTCCTTTTTTAAAAGAAAATTCCCTACAAAACATTCTATCAGTGGAATGGAAAGTGGAAGAAAACGGCTCAGAGAAAAATTAGTTTCATAATTATTATTACTAATATTATTATTTTAATATATTTGTGCGTTTAAGTTTCTGCAGCGATTTGACTAAGTTTTATGGGTGGAGTTGCTAGCATCACGCCCCAACCCTCCCTCTTTATCCAGGCTTCGGACCGGCTAGAAAACTAGCCAGCTAGTAATCTAGGCTAGGTCAAGTGATGCACAACGGAAAACTCAGCGAGGCGTTTGCAGTAAACACGAGAGTCAGGCAAGGGTACTTATTATCAATGATATTCCTAATTGTGGTGGACTGACTGCATTCTTCATCAGACAGTGAGTGAGAAACGAGAAGACAGGGATATCCTGGACCGACGTGAAGAACCTAGAAGACCTGGATTTCGCGAGTGGATGATTAATATTTGATGTCACACACACAAAATCTTCCTGATTGCAATCGATTGGATAATGCGACAGACAATCGCAACCAACGAGGGAACAGGCATAAAATGGACTGACACAAAAGATTTGGAGGATCTGGATTTCGCCGATGATATATGTCTGATTTCCCACAAACTGGAAGAAATGCAAGTGAAGAGCAACAAGTTGGCAGAAGAAGCATCAAAGATAGGACTTCAAGTGAACATAGATAAAACAGAGGTGATGAAGATTCCTAGCCAACATCATCAACAACAACAGACAACAATCAGCATAAATGGGAGGAACCTGAAAGAAACAGCCTCCTTCACCTACCTGGGAAGCATCGTCTCAACTACAGGCGGAACTGACGAGGATATCAAAGCCAGAATCGGAAAAGCAAGACAAGCTTTCATTACTCTCAAATCTGTTTGGAGGTCAACAGCACTCAGCATCAAAAATAACATCCGGATTTTCAACTCCAATGTGAAGTCAGTGCTACTATACGGATCAGAGACTTGGCGAGTCATAAAGAGCATCTCAAACAAACTACAGACTTTCATTAACAGTTGTCTTCGCTCAATACTCAAGATCAGATGTCTGGCCAGAAAAGATCAGCAACAAGGAGGGATCTCTGGGAGCGAACCAACGCAGCAGGAACCGATTGTGAAACAAATAGGCAGGAAGAAATGGAGATGGATTGGCTGGCCATACGCTGAGGAAACCATCAAGTGACATCACTAGACAAGCCCTCGAGTGGAACCCGAAAGAGAGGCGGCAAGTTGGTCGTCAGTGCAAGGGTGACTTGTAGGAGGTCATGTGAGGAGGAGATGAAAGCATGTGGACAGATCTGGAGCGGGGTGATAAAGTTGTCAGAAAGCAGAAGGCAATGGAGGTGCACAGCTGAAGCCGTATGTTCCTCTAGGAACTAAAGGATACAATAATAATAATACACACAAAATCGAAGACTTACAAGCGAAAACCGACAAACTGGTCCAAGAAGCAGCCGGCGAAGACAGGACAGACTCCATGTGAACATAGACAAGACGGAGGTGATGAAAATAACCAACCAACAACAGCAGCAACATCCAGCGTCAATCACCATCAACGAGAGGAATTTGAAGGAGGGTACTTCATTCATTCACTTATCTAGCTAGGGAGCATTGTCTCAACTACAGACAGTCAGAACGGACGACGATGTCAAATCGAGCGAGAATCATCGGGAGGGCGAGAAACACATTATTCATCAACCTGAAACCAATCTGGAAATCTCCGTCACTCAGCCAGAATCAACAACAAAATTCCGTCGGGAGGATTTTCAATACAAACAACGTCAAGTCAGTCAGTTCTTTTATAGGGATAGGATGAGAAACTTGGCGGTTGGGCGGGCGGATCACAAAGAAGATTTCCAGTAGGCTGGTTATTGCAGACTTTTATCAACAACTAACTGTCAACTATTGCTGTATACTGAATGAAGATGAGATGTCCGGGCCGGAAAGAATCACCAACAAGGAACTCTGGCTGGGAACAAAGAAAACAAAACAAGAAGCAATCGCCAACCAACAAATATGCAGAAGAAAGTGGAGATAAATTGCACAGTCACTGAGGAGGAGGCCGCTGGGTGACATCGTGCGCGCGTGAGGCCATTGCTCGAGTGGAACCAGGCTGAAAGGGAAGCAAGAGGCGAGTGGGACGTCGGTGCAAGGGCGGGTGACATGGGGGAGATGGTGTGAAGAGGAGTTGAAAGAGTATGGAGTAACTAAGATGGATGCAGGTGAAAAGTACAGCAGGAGAAGACAGAAGTGGCAAGTGGAGACGTGTAGTTGAATCTCTATGTTCCACTAGGAACCTTAGGGAACAATAATAATAATAATTATTATTCAAAAGTTGGAGTTATGGGGATTTCGATTGATTGGAAGATAGTTTTTCCTATAGACTAAGATCAGTTAGAGGGTCATTGAGAACTATGGAGCACTCTCTGAAGGCCGATTCTACTCTAGTTTTGAACTTTTGCAGAAATGTATACGCATGAACTTTGCGTTGCAAGCTGTGCATGTTTACCATTCAGCCATTGGTTTATTATCCGGTAGGCCAATATCAGAAATGGTATCTCCTGGAGTCGTAATAAAAGGTTGTGATCAGTGGGGTACACTAAAGGTGGATGTTATGAAAGACGCTGACGGATGATATTGGGTCATAGTAGTGTTGAGAATCGAAAGAATTGAAATTGAATTCAATTTGTCATTTGCAAATAAAAAAGACGTAATTCATGTTATGTGTAGTCTATTTGTTTAATATATTTTGAATATTTTGATTATACACGTACTTATACGTTATACGTTAACAGATTATAAAGGGTAAAAATTGAATAGACGTATGTTAAAATGTCAACTTAGGGGGTCAAAATCACAGATAATACGTAAGAAGAACAAACGTAGAAGCTTTCGTTTTAAGCTTTCATTAACAAAACAGGTTCACAGTAATTTCTAAACTTACTAAATAGGTTTAAACCTTAAGAATGTTTTATATATGGGCTTAAGTGTTGAAAAATAACTTTATGAGGCATCTGTATGATGTGCTTTGAGACAGATGACTTTAAAATAATTTGTCCTTCACATTCCCAGTGGAACATAGGGCTTCAAGCTAGTGGCTTGAAGTTTCTGTAGGAGTGTTTAATTTTTACTGGATGGGGTTTCTAGCCTCACGCCCAACCTTTCCTCTTCACCAGAATTATTTCTGACTTAGCGAGGTAAGTGAGTGCGTCCGTGGCCGGGGATTGAACCCCGGACCATGTGCATGGTCCACGAGCATCCTTACCGCTGTGCCACGGACACCAGATGACTTTAGACTGTGTTATTTAATTTGCCCTTGCAACTCTGGAACCTGACTTGTAGCCTTAATATACTGAGATATCCAGTGAGCAATAAAATTGTGATGAAGGCGGTCTGCAAGCCAAAATTTTAGATAACAATTTACGTCAATGTTCACATCCTGAATATAGGGTCATGAGAAAAAGCATACCAAAGCTTAACATTGAGAAAATCACCAGCCAATCAACAAAGGGGAGTTAAAGTGTGGAAATATGATTCACAGATATATGGCTTGGATTTTTTTGGAGAAACTGCCACAAAGAGATAACGGAAGAGATAACTTTCAGCAAGAAAACAAGCAATCAGAAGAGGTTGCTTCTACGCTAACAATAACGCTAATAGTAGTAATGCACATAAAAATCTTTAAATACCTCTTGATTTTCTCATTAAACAATCTGTTGCACGGCCCTTGTCTTCTGTCGTTACAAAACAGTTGAAAGGCTAACAGAAGAAAAGAGGCTTTAACTCTAACCTGTTTCATTTGTTCATAGGAATTATGTTTTGTTCGTTGTGGCGTAGATTCAAATGTTCTTTATTATTATTATTATTATTATTATTAATATGACCATCCATCTGACGAAGGTAAATAAATCCACTAATATTTGCATAATGTCATTGGTTTATAGTCAGACATGCCAATATCTTTGTCTTTCGAATGAATATATATGTTTTTTCCCCATGTTACGCTCTGTTGAAAATTGTGATTCACTAATCTTAATTAAGAATTTTGGTAAAATAATCGAAATCTTTGTAGAATATTTTATGATAATATTTAAGAAATATTGAAATTCAGTTGTTTTATTATCATTATTATAATTATTATTATTTTGATTCAATCATTCTTTTTCCCCTATTTTAATTCTCTTTATTCTTAAGCTTCATTTGAATTTGGTGAGAGTAGAGAAAATATACAGCTTTTTGGAATATGTACAAGGAGGGTAGGTTCATTGAGTGATTTGTTGCGTTGCATTGTATACAGTGTAAGAAATATATGATAGATATTACTTTGAATACATTCCATGTCTCCTGAAGAGTTAGTTATTCAATTACGAGCCAAAGACTTCTGCCCTTTAAGTTTTTTTTTTAAATCTGAGACGTCTACGAGTAGTTTATGTACTTAGCAAGTCAAACACAGGAATGTTCATAGCGTCGATGGTACAGTGGTTAGGACTCTCGCCGATCATACACATGGTGGGGGTTCAATCCCTTGCCGACGTATATCTGATATCTATGGTCGGCCTACAAAATTTGGGCTACCGATATCACATACTGAAAATTCCATACCTGTAACAAAAAAATACAGTGTGGAATCAAGCTGAAATAAAAAAAAAAACAGTTATCATCCAGTTGTTACTTCCTTCTAACTATAGTCATTTTATGATATATCACCGTAGTTATTTAGTTCTATTCACACTAGCGACTCTTTTTAGTAGGGAAATCAAACTACGATGGAGGGGGGTGGGTGGGTGGGTGATAGCTATAACTTTCATCTTTGAAAGCTTGGCCAGTGGCTATGTTAGGGAGGAAAGGACAACAAGTACAGCAAAGCTGTCATCTCAGCAATTTCATCCTCAGTACCTGTACATATATATTTATTTATATACATAAGTTCACTTAGTTACAATTATTATTCAATTCAACACAATAACGAAGGGAGATTAGAGGTGATAACAATTTTACAGCCTGATGTGAAAGTACAAAGGTGTGAATATAAATTGCAAGGGGTCATATAAACAGAATTACATCAGACTAGAAGATAGTTGTGTAATATGTAAAATAGCTTTTTACGAAGACATAAATAAGTAGATCCATGGTAGATGTAGAGGTTGGACTAGCTTCATTTGAACTTACAGTTTTGAACTCTCAATGCATATGGCGACAGCTTCCGCAGTACAAAGAAGTCAGAAAGACACTGAATTTGGTAGATTTTTACCCACTTTTTAAGTAAATCTGAATGATGAGTCAGTCGAGATACTGTGATAGTTGTCTGATTATGGTATAGCGCTTCTGACTGAATGACTTCCGTTTGTTTGCAGTCATACTGGGTAATGTTCTCCAAACACTTTTAGAAAGGATGTGCATAGAACAAATTATGTACCCGGTTCCACAGGAACACATGAGTGCTCGTATACGGGAGTTTGTCTTTCACATTGCTTAGAAGCAGTGAGTGGTTAGAAAATATCACCTTTAGTGTTGCTGCAGGAAAGGAAGGTCTTCCTTAGGCAACTAGAGATTCTCCTTTTTAAGATATTTGCCAATAAGTCTTCTTTGGCGTCCAGATTCATATATAGTTTTCTTCTCTGGCACTGAATTGCATTCCCGTCTTTTCGGCTTATCCACGAAACTTTGCTGGGTGTCCATTTTGAGCCACGATATTTTTGAGAATTAAGGGCTCATCTTCTAAGCAGTCAATGCTGTCGATTATTCTGACACAGCGATCAAGTGAAATGATGACAGCTCTTTTACGGTTCACACAGTATCCAACTATAGAAGTTTGTTAGCTGGACATTCCATAATGGTTTTTTTGTGGACAGACGTTTTCATAGTCGCATCATCTCTTCGTGTCAATTCTACCTCCAGAAATCGGATCTTTGATTCGTTTGAAGGATAACACTTATTAACTTCTTGTAGGATACAATTTAAATGAGAATCAGTAATGGCAGGATATAAAGGTTTCGTCCACATACTTTTCGTACTGGAGTAATTTTTCTGTTGTTGATTTTAAGCTTCTCTCCATAGAGCAGTCTGCGAAAAATTGGGGTAAGCGGGAGGGACCATCTTCCCATCTTTCTGTCTGCAGATGTCGTTGTTAAACGTGCATTAAAATTTCAAAGTCGTGTGATCAAAACTGATATGATTATGAACGATAATGGGAGGGATTCAAAAGAGGTTAGTTACTTCATTCATTCACTTATCTAGCTAGGGAGCATTGTCTCAACTACAGACAGTCAGAACGGACGACGATGTCAAATCGAGCGAGAATCATCGGGAAGGCGAGAAACACATTATTCATCAACCTGAAACCAATCTGAAAATCTCTGTCACTCGGCCAGAATCAACAAAAGAATTCGGTCGGTAGGATTTTCAATACAAACAACGTCAAGTCAGTCAGTTCTTCTATACGGATAGGATGAGAAACTTGACGGGTGGGCGGGCGGATCACAAAGAAGATTTCCAGTAGGCTGGTTATTGCAGACTTTTATCAACAACTAACTGTCAACTATTGCTGTATACTGAATGAAGATGAGATGGCCGGATCGGAAAGAATCACCAACAAGAAACTATGGCTGGGAACAAAGAAAACAAAACAAGAAGCAATCGCCAACCAACAAATATGCAGGAGAAAGTGGAGATGAATTGCACAGTCACTGAGGAGGAGGCCTCTGGGTGACATCGTGCGCGCGTGAGGCCATTGCTCGAGTGGAACCAGGCTGAAAGGGAAGCAAGAGGCGATTGGGACGTTAGTGCAAGGGTGAGTGACATGGAGGAGATTGTGTGAAGAGGAGTTGAAAGAGTATGGAGTAACTAAGATGGATGCAGGTGAAAAGTACAGCAGGAGAAGACAGAAGTGGCAAGTGAAGACGTGTAGTTGAATCTCTATGTTCCATTAGGAATCCAAGGGAACTATAAATAAATATTACAAGGAAACGCAGCCTAATTGCTATATACCCTGTTTTCATCAGAATTTATTTTCTTCTCTATTCTACGATACACTACGACATTTGCAATTTGAAATAATAAGAATGAAATAGAAATGTGTAATTAAGTTACTCTGTCAGGTGTACGATATGAAGAGGGAATGGAAATTTATTTTCATTACACTAGTGTAAAATCAGAGTTTCTAGGAGGAAAAAAGAAACAAACCAACCTTTTTTTTCAGTACCTATTAATTTTAGACACTCAGTTTTGTATTGTATAGAATCTTATGTTTTATTTCGTGTGTCTTTGTAAAAAAATATTGGAGGATACCAATTCTCTTGTAGTGGAGAGTTAGCCACCGATGTAATTCTACTTAACAGTATAATTAAAAGCAGTAGTGTTTACCGGCTTGATTTTTAGACCTTGATACTTGAAATCAATAACCTAATATATCAGGTCATGGCTATTACAAATAGTCTCATCAGAAATTACTTCAGACCAAGTCACGAACTGATTTCAGTGGGAGAATTCAGACCAATGGGATCTTACATTATTATTATTTCCTTTAATTCCTAGAGGAACATAGAGCTTCAGTCACACGTCTCCATTGCGTTCGGTTCTCTGCTAAAGTTTTCACCCCGCTCCAAGTCTGCCTACATGCTTTCATCTCCTCTTCACATGACCTCCTCTAAGTCACCCCATCATCGCACTGAGGACCAACTCGCCGCTTCCCTTTCAGGTTCCACTCGAGCAATGGCTTGTCTAGTGATGTCACTTAATGGCGTGTTTTCTCAGAGTATGGCCAGCCAATCCAACTCCATTTCTTCGTGCTTATTTGTTGCACAGTCAGTTAATGGTTGGTTTGCTCCCAGAGATCCCTCCTTGTTGCTGATCTTTTCTGGCCAGACATCTGATCTTGAGTATTGAGCGAAGACAACTGTTAATGAAAGTCTGTAGTTTGTTTGAGATGCTCTTTATGACGCGTCAAGTCTCTCATCCGTATAGTGAGTAGCACTGACTGACCTCAAATTGGAGTTGAAAATCCGGACCTCATTTTTGATGCTGTGTGCTGTTGACCTCCACACAGACTTGAGAGTAATGAAAACTTGTCTTGCTATTCCGATCCTCGCCGCTTCGATATCGTCATAAGTTTCGTCCGCCTGTAGTTGAAACGATGCTTCCCGCATAGGTAGGTAAAGGAAATTGTTTTCTTTCAGGTTCCTCCCATTTACGCAGGCTGATTGTTGTCTGTTGTTGTTTGACAGGAATCTTCATCACCTCTGTTTTCTCTATGTTCACCTGATGCTTCTTCTTCTGCCAACGTGTTGCTTTTCACTTGCATATCTTCCAGTTTGTGGGAAATCAGACATATATAAGCCATCGACCAAGTCCAGATCCTCCAAGTTCTTATTTATGTGGGTTCATTTTATGTCTGTTTCCTCTTTGCCTAACCCGCTGTCTGTCGTATTATCCAATCTACTGCAATTAGGAAAATCATTAGCGATAGTAGGCAGCCAGCTTCTCTATCTCCTGTCCTCGCTTCGAAGGACTCCGTAAGTTTCCCGTTGTGAATTACTTGGAGGCATGCAGCACTGTTGGATTAGAAGTATAATTGTCGGTGGCTCCCGTAGTAGCGAAGTAGTTACCAAATCACCTCTTGATCGACGCTGTCCACTGTAGGCATTTTCAAAGTCGATGAAGTTGAGATAGAGAGGTGACTGCTCATCCCAAGCTTTGTTCAATTATGATCCGTAGTGTGGCGATTTGATTTATACATGACTTGTTTCTCGTGAATCCAGCCTCTTTCAATCGAATTTTTTCATCCAGGGCTTGTTTGATTCTACCAACTTAGATATGAGGGAAGATACTCGCTGATGACATCTGAAGAAGTTAGAATTCATGGGCCATTGAATTCCGTCTGAATATCAGCTGAATGGTCAGCTGGCTCGCTTTGTAACAACTTGAAGGTTCTGAGTTCAGTCACTATCGGTGACGTGATGAGTACAGGCTGATTAAGTGTCCTAAAGTTGGTGCACGAAACAACACCCTATCCAGTACACCCTGATTTCCGGTTGTTCTCTAGTTAATGTCAGCTTGTGATCTAACTGAAAATCAGTTAAATTTCATGTTGACACTAGAAAATAATTTTCACTTTATACCTATTGATTCGTATGGAGATAAATTTATTATTACCTAATAATAGTAAAGCGTAAAGTTTTTCTTCTTCTTTTCCATCTGTTTACAAATAGCACTGAATTGAGCTGTTGTATTGCAATCGATTTTACAGCAAGTAATGGTAGTCCACAAGTTCCCGGTACACTGCATTACAGTACAATTTCACAACCATCACAATATGCATTAGCTTTACAAGCTGTCGGAGAAATAATCAGTGATTATGACAGGTGAGTGAGGGAATGAAGACAGAACAACAACAACACAACAAAAAGAGAAGTGAAAAAGAATATTTTCTAGATCATTGATCTTTTTTTTTTTGAATATAACTACTTTCTATTTATTCTACTATATATATATATATATATATATATATATATAGAAAATGTTTTTTGTTCCAGTCCCCAAAATATGTAAGCGATCACACACACACACACACGTACAGCTTGTTCATTATTGCTAAGCTGAACGCTACATGAAGATTATTCTCGTGTGTGTGTGTGTGTGTAAATATACATATTTTTTTAGAATTAAATGAGTTCTCCTTTCACTCTTCCTATCTCTAACTTGTTTTTTAGTTTATCTCCTAGTTCATCGTATTTGTTTTGTTGTATATTACTGTTAGTAGTAAAAACAAACACTGTTTTGACTTCAATGATTCAAGGCTTAAATAAACATTTTGTTTTGATGTAAATATTTTCTGATGATATAATCTCATCTTTCTCTCTCAGTATATATATGTGTGTACATGAAGAGATTGTTTATTGAAGTGTTGGTTTTTGTAGGGATTTGATTGATTGGTTACAGGATTTCCATCATGAGCTGACATTAGTTAGAGAATGATTAGAAAACCTGCAGAGGGAGTACTGGACAGCCAGCTATTTCCTCCATCCTAGTTTGGGAGTCTTCATCAGTACGCACCCACCATAGGGGGTTCGAACCCAGGACCTTCTGGTTACAAGGATAGCGAGCTCGTAGACCATTCAGCCACTGCGATCCGATCCAATCGCCAACCCATGAATTCTGACTTCTGCACATTCACGGCACAGTGCGACCCTAGACAATGTCTTCGATGCGCGAGTATTTGTCCTCACACCCGACCTGCTGCATCCTACTGGTCACGACTTCTCACTAGAACTCCAGGTTGCTACCTCCCTGAATAGGGCAAGTCGCTAGTGAGCATCCCATCGACATTGGAGTGTTGTTACGTAGGGATTTGATTGGTTTATTGCTTTATACAAACACACACATTCACATATGCTTAGTTCACCTGATAGATTTGTAAACAATTCAGTCGTCATATTGGCTATTATTCCCTCAGATTCTCAATGGAACCCATAGGAAGGGCTTCAATAGTTCTTCTCCGCTTTAACTCTGTTCTCTGCTGTGTGTGTGTGTGCGTTTTTTTTGTAAACTGGCTCCATCACTGCTCATAGGCTTTCATCTCCTCCTCCTCCTCCTTGCATGATCTTCTCCATGTCATCCTTAGTCCAGTGCTCAACTCGTTGTTTTTTCATTCAGGTGACACTGGAGGGTCTGTCTGTCTGTCGCGTGATGTCATTCAACACTTTTCTTGGGGTTTATGTTTAGTTCATCTCCAGCTTGCTTAGTTTGCTGACCGGTTTTAAGCCCAGAAAATGAGGGAAAGTTGAACGTGAAGTTAGTGATCCTACCTAGATCGAAAAATCAATCCAATCACTGGAGAAACTTTAAAGCACAGAAAAAATATATCTAAAAAAGACAGTCCAATATACAAATAATATTAGTAATGATAAGATAGTAGCATTTTATACTATTAATGTTATATTATTCTTTCTTTTTGTCATCTACCAACATGCAAAGGGCGGGTGTACTGCTCAGCGAAGCAGTCCGCTCTGTCCTCCTTTATGGCTGGCTCTGAGACCTGGCCATTGAGAGTGGAAGACATGAAAAGATTAGTTGTCTTTGATCATAGGTCCCTGGGTTCTATCTCCCGTGTGAAGTGTTATAATAAGGTGAGTAATATTGAGGTTAGGCCTCTGTCGAGTTCTAGGTAAGTAGGGGAAATCAATCAACGAGGCTGCGAAATTACATCGACTGAGATGATTAGGACGTGTGACACGCATGCACGCCTAGTCATCGCCTTCTTCGACAATGGGCAACAACCGAAACATGGCTTCACCAGTCAATGAAATCTACAACAGTTAGTTTAAGCCAGCCAGCCACGTAGGAAGGTGTAGACTTCCTGACTGGCTGGTTGGGGACCTCGAGACGGTATAAACCAATGACATGCTGGAAACCATTGGTGATATGGCTCAAAGTGATCATTTTCAATGGCTGGCGTAAATGCATCCACTCCTTGTGACTTATGATTCCCAATGAAATTGTATTGTTCTTCGTCATTACTATTTCTTTTGTCTCACACCTCTGTTTACTGTCTCTATTATGCATTTCTTCTGCTTTCTTTCTTGCTTTGTGTGTTAAATGAGGTGTGGCTACTTGAACTGGTTCACATATGTGTAAAGTTCTATGTTGAAAACAGACAGACTTCCAACAACCTAAGTGAATAAATTAATAATAGTAATAATAGGAGTAATAATAAACATACAGAAGTATACAAGCGGACATATAATTCTATTATTGAGTGTTTATGTTACACTGAAGAAGGAAGAATGCATACAAGACTCCAATATATATACAATGCACTCTGCAAAGATAAACACTCGTAAGGCGATTCAGTCAACTAGTAATCGATATAACTATTTATTATTTTTTTATTCCAAAGATACACAAGCTTGGTTTCAAAATGAGCGTCAAGTTATTCACCGTTGGGAATAATAATTACAACAGTTTGAAAGAATAGATTTTTGAGGGACGAAAGAATAGAAATTGTAACACATATGCGAACCACTTGGTTGTATCATCTCTCGAGTCTCGTCAAGATAGTCTTAATGTACCAATGAGTAGATGCTGAAGCAACGAAACTTTCTACCATCTCACGGTGACAATTTACAAGCTGATCATATCTCTTCTACTCTTATAACGGGTCTCAGATGTAAACAGTTGTGAACTGTATGAAAGGAAACTCCTGGGATGACACGTTTCACCTATCCAAATCAATGAATCCGCTGTCTTTTAAGCAGTAATGATGTGCAGTTATATTATATCTAAGGAATTTTTATGATTATTTCAGATAAATTCCCAAGGTACATCTCTCCCTAACAGACAGTTATTGAAGTCATCAGTCAAAGGCCGCTCTGATATCAAGCAGTGCAACAGTGTGTTTTTTTCGCCTGCAATACATCTGACAGTGTTCTGCCATCTAGCACATAGCGATTACTGCAACCAAGACCTGAAAGAAAAATTCAACTTGACTTTCGTGAATTATTTTGTCACTCATTTCATCGAGTTTACAAAGTATGACATCAACAACTTCTACTTCAACAGCTGTCACATGTTTTTTTCTAGCTTCTTTTAAAAATTGGTACAAATTGGAGAGTCATTCTCCATTGGTGGGACACTCATTTTCTTATAATTTCCTGAATAATCCAATCGATTTCATGACTAGAATTCCACAAATCTATCAAAAAAAACAGGCTGAGAATAATTTGTCTCAGATGACTTATCACTTATAGGGTATTTAGAGTTGGTTGTCTTCGAAGTGAAGACAGAAGATAGACAAGCTGGCTGCCTACTATCGCCAATGATTTTCCTGATTCCAGTAGGTTGGATAATGCGACAGACAGCGGGTTAGGCAAAGAGGAAACAGACATAAAATGAACCCACATAAATAAGAACTTGGAGGATCTGGACTTCGTCGATGGCTTATATATGTCTGATTTCCCACAAACTGGAAGATATGCAAGTGAAAAGCAACAACTTGGCAGAAGAAGAAGCATCAGGTGAACATAGAGAAAACAGAGGTGATGAAGATTCCTGCCAAACAACAACAGACAACAATCAGCCTGCGTAAATGGGAGGAACCTGAAAGAAAACAATTTCCTTTACCTACCTATGCGGGAAGCATCGTTTCAACTACAGGCGGACGAAACTTATGACGATATCGAAGCGGCGAGGATCGGAAGAGCAAGACAAGCTTTCATTACTCTCGAGTCTGTGTGGAGGTCAACAGCACACTCAGCATCAAAAATGAGGTCCGGATTTTCAACTCCAATGTGAAGTCAGTGCTACTTTACGGTTCAGAGACTTCGCGCGTTAAAAAGAGCACCTCAAACAAACTACAGACCTTCATTCACAGTTGTCTTCACTCAATACTCAAGATCAGGTGTCTGGCCAGAAAAGATCAGCAACAAGGAGGGATCTCTGGGGGCGAACCAACCCAACTGGAACCGATTGTGAAAAAAATAGGCAGGAAGAAATGGAGATATATTGGCTGGCTATACTCTGATGAATCCATCAAGTGACACCACTAGACAAGCCATTGCTCGAGTGGAACCTGAAAGGGAAGCGGCGAGTTGGTCGTCAGTGCGATGATGGGGTGACTTGGAGGAGGTCATGTGAAGAGGAGATGAAAGCATGTAGGCAGACTTGGAGCGGGGTGAAAACTTTAGCAGAGAACCGAACGCAATGGAGATGTGTGACTGAAGCTCTATGTTCCCCTGGGAATTAAGTCATATAATAATAAATAATAAGAGTTGGTTGTCAGTATCCGCTCTGTCGGATTGGTATGAGTGAAAATCACAGATAGACATGAGGTGGAGTTACTCTATCAATAACTTATGATAAATGAGAATAAGTTACAAAGTGAGCTTCTTAGGAGCAGTTTACATTCGGTATAGTTGTGTTGCCTAGGATAGTTTATTTAATTTTGAAAGTCTCCTTCTGAACAACATCTTCAGCATAAACTTCAACGTCAAGTGACTTCATCATAAAAGCTTCTTTTGCAAGCCAACAACATCATATATATATATATATATAAGGTTATTATTCACAAGCGAATATAATTAATCAGTCTTAATTAACATCATTATTAATAACAACTGGTCATGACAGCAAAATAAGTTAGTAGGAAAATAAAGGTGAATTTTATGGGTTTTAAAAACAAACATTTGATTTCACCAATAAAAATAAAAGTTCACCATCTGAATAACCAATTTATATGTTAAACAACTAATTGATGAATGTAAACCTTTTGAAATTGGAAAAATTGACCTTCATTTCCTGCCTTATGGTGTTTATGATGTGTTAAATCGGCAGAGATGATCTACACTAACATTGATTATACATACATATATGTTTAAAATTTAATTTCTAATTCTTGATTGTTACCTTTTGCATATTTTTACAGTGATAATCTGTTCCCTTCATTTGGATTCGGTGCTTGTATTCCACCGGATAACACAGTTTCACATTGTTTCCCTTTGGTGAGTTGACTTTTACCATTTTTATGCATTTTTTGTATGTCCTTTTGACTGGATTATATTGAACCGAAATCCCCAGCTTGTATTGTCTTGTTGACTTCTAGTATGAACACTTTGATGACGTTTGAAAATGATTATATGAGGTGTGTATTCTGTGTGATGGTGACTAACAGTGGGGTCCAGAATTTGAATTGCCTCCTATTGGGAATTTGACAGCTGGATGGATGATTTTTCATGAGCTGACATCAGTTGGAAAACCTAGGATACAGCAGGTTGAAGATGAGGCAGTAACTCATCGAAGAAGACATTGAGAAATGGTCACGCTATGTCGTGAATTGGCAGAAGTCAGAATTCAAGAATCATTGGATCGCGTCTCAGTGGCTCAATCGTCTACAAGCTCGCTAGGCTTGTAACGAGAAGGTCCTGGGTTCGAACTGTGGTGGTGGGTGCGTACTGATGAAGCGTCTCAAACTAGGACGGAAGAAACAGCTGTCCAGTACTCCCTGCAGGTTTTCCAGTGGTTCTCTAACTGATGTCAGCTCATGAAGAAATCGTCCATGCAATCAAACAAAAATCCCTACAAAACTAATACTTGAACGTGTATTTTTCTTAATTTATTAAAACAGTTTAGCTGGAAAAAAATTGTTTGCACTTTTTCAATTATTTCAACTTAAGGTAGGGGGGTAAATTAGCATTCATTGTATACACAGTTGAAATTGCTGTATTCTTCATGAAAGTACTTATTTTAAGATGTACAATGATTGTTCATTTTTTTTCTTAACAGCCGATTTACAACTAGTGAAATTAGAAAATGAACCTTTTTAGAAGGTGTAATTTGTGAATTGGAATTCTATTGCTCGCGCAAAGATGACACGGTCTTAATAATACATTTGTAAAACTTGGGAACCGTGTCAGAAAGTAATTCCATATAAGTTTTTTTATTAAATGTATCACACAGTGAAACAGTAATATTTACTGGATGACATGGTTTCGAACAAAATTTATTATTGTTCATAATCATATCAGCTGTAATCACACGACTTTGAAACTTGAGTTCTGTAGTTTTCTTTGTTCTCTTCTATTTGTAGTCGTAGGGGTAATAGAATTTTCCAGATATCTGGGTGGACAGGTGTTGAATCATTCCTATTACATGTATTTGCATTCAGTTGATTCGATAAACAAAGCCTCAGTCAGTTATAAATCTTTCCCTCACTCCATCTTGTGACATTAGATTTTAAAACTGTCATCCTATTCCTTCGCAACACCAACAATAAGGAATCTCTATCATCAGTAGTAATTCCATACAAGGAAGGAACCTTGGAAACCACCTTACGCTGAATACTTAACAAGACAGGAATACAAGTGGTTGTCACTCAAACCACTCACAAACTTAATTAGTAACAAGCTCTGTCGGTTAAAGGATCAATCCTGTGGAGCCTGTGGTGATTGTCAGGTTAAACACATAGGTCAAAGCAGTAGAACAGGGGCTGTCAGTCAGACTAGCGGAGCATAAAAACCTGGCAGCGAATTCTAGATTGGTTGACCCGAATAAGATAAGAAATCTGGAGATTAGTTCAGCTATAGCACTACATGCACTCACACACAACCATACAATGGGATGAATGGGATAGGATGACAGTTTTAAAATCTAATGTAACAGCTGGGTGGAGGGAGAGGCTGATGACAGAAACTTTGTTTATCGAATCAACTGCAAATACGTGTAATAGGAATGATTCAACACCTGTCCACCCAGATATCTGGAAAATTCTACTACCCCTACGACTACAAATAGGAGAGGGCAAATGGAACTATAGAACTCAAGTTTCGAAGTCGTTTGATTACAACTGATATGATGATGAACCACAATAAATTTTGTTCGAAACCATGTCATCCAGTAAATATTACTGTTTCACTGTGTGATACATTTAATAAACAAACTTATAGGGACACGGTCTTGATTCTAAAAATAACCGGCATAAAGAACTGACCATTCTCAACTAATTTAATCAAGTATATTCTGCAATCACCTTTACCGTTAAGAAGGAAAACATCTAAAGTATTTCATGCCTAGACGATGTCCTGCAGAATAAATGGAGCATATGCAGCAAAACCCCAAATAAAGGGATTAGTATGCTGATTTTTTTAAAATGTGTTTTATCTTTGAGAAACATAAACACAATGGTAGAGTGGTAGAGTGTTTGGTCCACAAATGATTTACTTACTTGGTGAAGAAATTAAGACAATCTATGAATTACTACTGAGTATTTGCTAGTCGAGTGGAACCAGGCTGAAAGGGAAGCCAGCGGCGAGTGGGACGTCAGTGCGAGGGTTACATGGAGGAGATCGTGTGAAGAGGAGTTGAAAGAGTATGGACTAACTAACATGGATGCAGGTGAAAAGTACAGCAGGAGAAGACAGAAGTGGCAAGTGGAGACATGCAGTTGAAGCCTTATGTTCCGCTAGGAGCCCAAGGGAACAATAATAATAAATAGATAATCAGAAAAGACTCTTAAATAAATACATGAATTTTCCGCAGAGGAAAGTTAAGTGTATCGACAGTTCCAAGAAAGCAGTTTCTTGCGGATATTAACATTATTATTATTATTATTATTATTGCTATCATTATAATTATAATTATTATTATTATCGAAAGTGCAATAGCATTTACAGACACTATAAAAAAGCATTTTGTGAAGCTGAATAACTGAACTGATTTTGTCTAAGGACAAACTACTTTATTTCTCCTACCCCATTTACACTTAACACTTTGATTGCAACCCTGGAGCCAGTTACATTCACTGTATATTTATGCATAATATACCTATATGTGTATGCATGTTTGCATGCATATTTTGGTTGAATTTGGTTTTAAAACAAATTTCGCATATAAGATAATACCTACCAGTAGCCTATAACCATCCATCCATCCTAACCATAATCACTGAATCGAATAGGTAGTGTATACAGAAAGTTTAATATATAAATAAAAGTAATAATATGAAACTACAGTTCGAAAAGCAGAAAGGCGCAGACATAGACATCGAATTCAATAAGGACGCACGCTATGGTGAAAAAACAAACAAACAAACAAACACATCAGGATATAAAATCACTGCCAGATAGATGGCACCACATATTCAACTGTTTCGCTTCCGTTTATTTAGATTTTGTATAAGTAGTTTTTAATCGCCCCAAAAAATAACAATTATAATAATAATAATAATAAGGATATTGCAAATATCACATGCAGAAGAAGAACAATGACGTCTGTATGCTTTGGAATAATATAAACAAAATGTCAAGTGCAAAATCAGTCGGTAGTTATTCAGAGAACTACAACTGTATAATATAATGTGTGATGATGATAAAGTTTGTTGAATGGAAAGTGTACAGTAGAGAAAAGAGTTAACTGTACCACTCATAACTCCTTAGAAAAATGATAAATACCTCTGATTTATTCAAGGGATAGAAATGCAAAGAAAACACAGACTCGCGAAACTGTCTAAACATCGATCCTGTTGCAGTATGTGATACAGATTGATGTTCTATAGTTTTGCTTGTAAGGGTTAGTTATGTTTTCACGAGTTGATCAAGGATTGATATCAGTTAGAGAAGCATTGAAAACCAGCACTGGAGTACTGAACAGCTGCTGTTTCATCCTAGTTTGGGAATCATCGGCAGTGCGCATCCACTGGAAACTCGTAGAAGTCGCAAATGTGAACTCTTCAATTCTTTTTAGCGCGCTCTAGTGTTCAGAAAGCAATTCGTGAAATAGAAAACATGAAAATGTTTTTTTTTGTTTTCAACTTGGAGTAAAATCTGTAATTTGTAACAATGTTTCGTGTCAGGTATAGCATATCTCAGAGGAGACATGACTTCCTCCAAGGCTGCGTATTACGTCTTTCTGAAGATTTCCTCCATGCATCCACTGGCAACAATACTAGTCTGTTAATATGTATTTTATAGAGAAACGGTATTCTTCGTTAGATTGTATTTCCTACAGTAAATATTACTTTCATCTTGGAAATGGATTTATCGTCATTTGCACAGATCTTTTGTGTTGTGCTATTTCCACACTTCGTATTGTGTCCTACTATTTGTATTCTTTTCGTGTCTCCCATATTTTGCCGCACTACACTGGTTCATTTGCCTTCTCTTGACATTAATTCCGTCACTCCGCTATTTGATATTTTTATGCTGATGAACGTCTCTTTGCATACTACTGATAACATTTACCAGTGGCACACGCCATAGATACTGCCACAATGTCTATGTTTAACTCATTTCTTTGATCAAAAAATGTATCAGGTAATGCTGTCGTTTTTTTCTTTCCTTCACGTTCCCCAGTGGAACACAGGGCTTCAAGCTAGTGGCTTGAAGTTTCTGTATCAGTGTTTATTTTACAAGATGGGGTTTCCAGCCTCATGTTCAACCTTTCCGCTTCACGAGCATTATTTCTGGCTCAGAGAGGTAAAGGAGTGCGTTGGTGGCCGGGTATCAAACCCCGGACCATGTGCATGGTCGGAGAGCGTCCTTACGGCTGTGCCACAGCCGCAATAAATAAGCTTTACATTCATATATATATATATATATATATCGTAAAAGAGTAAGGAAGTTCTATTCAAATTATAATGAAGATCATAAATGGGGATTATAAAGACATTATGACCGGAAAAATAGACAGGCAGTTTGGATAAATTTAGATGGTTGTAGGCAGTCGACACGAAGCCTTGCATGACGTGCTAGTTGGCACTCACCAGTCAACAAGGCGTATTTGCAAACTTGACTGTGATAGAATTCAGTCTGCAGTAAAGAAAAGAACTAGTTTGACACATGACACTAGTTGATGTCCAGTCAAAAGTTACTTCGTGTGCGAGTTTCAAAAACCTGACCTAAACAAACTGGTTAGCACTCACGAGGTGTGCAACATAGATGGTACTGAAATAGGAACCAAGTCGGAAATTAAATACATATCTTTTTGTCATTCTATCTGCCGATCTTTC